GGGGGGGGGGGGGGGGGGGCAGTGGTTGGGCTTTGCAAGCCTTTGCCTTTCATCTCACAACAAACAATTTGGCTCTCTGACGGCTAACACACAATACTGGTTGGAGTTCACTTTAGTAGTCAGTATTAAGTACTAAAACTGATATTAAAACAAATCAGATAAAATGTTAAAAGAAGAGTTTAATGCAATTTGTTGTAAATGTTGATCCATTTATAAATAACATGGACATTTCACTTACCACATTTCCACACAATGACCTTTGTCGATTACACAGGCTACAACATTCTTCTGATAGACATCTGATTTCATAAGTTTTCTGCCAACATCAGAAAGGAGATCTTCAGGATGAGCGAAAACTATGCTGGTAAGCCCATTTACAATATCGTCTGGCAAATGGATGTCTGCTGCCATATCTTCCTTGTTGTTGAATAGCGTTTCACAATTTTCGTTTTCGTAACGTGATGGAAGAACACCGGCGTTAATACTCATTATCTTAAGACTGTGCAGCTGATCCTCGATGATAGACGAAAGAGGGCACAGCACAATAACAATGTTGATTGTTGTTTTTGTCAGCAATATGTCTGGAAGCAATTGAAATAAAACTGACTTTCCAAATCCAGTGGGCAAAACTGCAATAACATCATGTCCCTTACAAATGTAATCAAAACATTGTCCATCTATTGGCCATACCCGCATTATGTAAAGCGATGTGTATTCTGTTGAGAATTTCCATATTCGTTAATACTGTATAAAGTTCTTTAGACAATTTTTATTTTTATTCCTGAATCTGCATAACTATTATGTAAATTAATTCCTAAATAGTCAGAGGTGCTCATAAATTATCATACTAAACACCCCAAAATTCAGGGTGTCATGTGACCAGCCGAGGCCAGGGCCTTTTTCGCCGACGCTGTGGAGGTAAAATGCCCTGGGTACGAGGTTGAATAATCGCTTGTCTTCAGGCAAGTTTGGGACAGTTTCGGCCAGAAATATTTGTAAGACAGCTAGGATTCGCAAAGGATACTATAAATGGAGTCAAAAGCGTCCTTTGGTGGAAAAAAGCACAGTGGAAAGCGATATTCCCGTAAAACTTCAGCAAAAGAAATTATAACTATTAAAGTTTCGTCAATGCAATAACTATAATAAAAACACGTTCTAAAGCTAAGTGAAATATTCTATTTAGTCAATTTTCGAACAAATATTCAATAAAACTGCATTTTCGGCACGAAATTTCACTAAAATGTTGATAAAAATTAAAATATAGTAGGCTATTAGCAGGCAATTTATCTGTAAAGGAAATATCTTAAAAATTCTGTTAATTTAAGCAACAAATGCCATTAACTCGAAGAATGAAACCCTGGACAGATAATATGAAATTTTGAGAAAATTGAATGAACTTGATCTCAAGGATAATGCCAATGCCGGAATTAAATTATTAACGCATATTTATCCAAATTGGATAAGACAAGTTCATCTGAATACTTACAATGTGGCAACACAAGCAAAAACGTTACTAAAATCCAGATATATTATTCCTTTTTGCAAATTATGAATGTTTCGAGTTTGGCACTGCAAATGCAACGCCAAATTGTTACAAATTCTGCATTAAAGCTTGTTAGATATTCTGCAGCCAACCTTTGAGTTTGGCTCTGCAATTGCAGCGCCAACTTGTTAGACATTCTTGTTAGATGTTAAATATATACGAGCTACAGAAATATGCATTATTTATTAGGATTAGATTAGGGCTTGGGGTACGTAAGTTGTTTATTTTATGGAGAAGACGCCCAAACGGCGCATTTTGCATGTATCGAACATATCAGTTAAATTGTCTTATTAACAAGGGTAGTTAACTACAGCTACTTCAAAAATATGTAGTCAGCTACAACTACTGCTACTTTTGAACAAAGGTAGTTCGCTACTGACTACAGCTACTACTTAAAAAATGTAGTGAACTATTTCGCTACGCTATATTTTTTAGTTTTACTGTATGTGGAGCGTCTAACCTATAACAAA